TGTCTCACGCATCCTCGACGTACGTCCTAATGCCAGAAGGGAGGCGGAATCCGATTGAATTTGCCAGCGTGGCCATTTCCAATGGTTCGCTGGATTACGTCCACGCTGATTCATCCGCGTATACACAACTGCTGTCATAACTAGTGACACGAGGTTTCGGGCATGAATAGAGTCCTGGGCGAGTGTCCTGTGCAGCGGCAACCTGGATCAAGCCTAACCAAACCAGCACATCCGCGTGATATCACCTCTCGAGAAAGCGTTACGTTCAGGACGCTCGAGCCAGGATCGCCTTATTGTTCACAGCTTTCACTCGCAACTCCTCTGTTCGAAGCACCAGAGTTGTTTCGATATTCCTCTCTCTCTCACATACACATCAATACATATACAAAAGGAGAAATAGAGAGAGAGAGAGAGAGAGAGAGAGAGAGAGAGAGAGTGAGAGTGAGAGGGAAAAAGAGGAGAGAGAAAGAGGGAGCAAGGGAACTCGCGACGGCGGGTGCGACAGAACGACAGAGACGAAGCGTGAGAGCAAAAGCGATATAGATAGATGGAGAGAAAAAGAGAGTGAGCATGAAAGCATGAGGAGGGTAGAAGGGGGGAGGACCGTGAGGATCACGCGTGCGGTTCCTTCGGTTGTTAGGTCGTTGTTATACAGGTTCTTAAAGGTCCCGTCGTCGCTCCGTTTCTCCGTCTCGCTCTCGCACCGCCGCGGTGCGCGCGCAGAGCCTCGACCGGCGTCCGCCAGACGCCGCTGGCGCTGTGGCCGGCCTCGGTCTACGCGAGCGGGCCGCTCAGTCTAATTTGAACCGTCGCGCGCGCCCGACGCGGGGCCACCGACGATCTCTCTCCCTTCCTCCGGCTCTCGCGACACGCGTGACACGCGAGGCGCCTCGTGTGCATGCCGCGTGCGACACACGCGACCCGATCCCCCGTCCGTATCTCGTCCGGAGCCGCGCGACCATCTTTGCGAGAGGAAGCGGTTCGTGTGAGATAGTGACAGTAAAAGAGAGAGAGAGTAAAAAAAGGGAAGTAAAGGGAGCAAGAAATAGGAAGAGAGGGAAAGACAAGAAAGAAAAGGAGTCAAAAAATAGAACGTGTAAAAAGCGTGATAACGTGCGGGTGACAACTCCTAATTACTCTTCGTCTGGTATTTGACTCCTAATTCCTCTTCCTGTGTCGACTTTTCCTCCTCCTCCGTCGCGGATCAACGAGGGTGGCCTGCTCAAAAAGCGGAACTGTGCGCGACGTTACGCATTCGAGAGAGAGAGAGAGTAGTGAGCTGCGGCCGACGAGAGTGAAGTGCGCGCGCGAGAGGGCGGGCGGCCGCATAGCCTCGTGGGTATATTTAAATAGTGTCTCGGCTGGTCAGAGGAAGCCGACGCTTTCTTCGTCTTCGTCGTCGTCGTCGCCGTCGCCGCCGTTGTCGTCGTCGTCGCTGCCGCCGTCGCCGCCGCCGTCGCTGACGTCGTCATCGCTGCCGCCGCCGCTGCTGCCGTCCTCGTATTCCTGTTCCCGTCTCCGACGTCTCGAGGCCTGACTCAACCGCGTCCGTCTCTCCCGCTTTTCCCGCTGCAAACCGACTTGCAACGCGACACCGAGTCTCGAACAGCGCAAGGGGGTGGTGAGGTGGATCGCTCGCGGAATTCCGTTTGCCTCGATGTTGCTGACGGTTCGAAGAGGACCGGCGTCCCAGGCGGTCGTGGGTGTTCCCTCGCGCGAAGTCGTTCATCAGTTCGATTTGCATGTGAACGAACACGTGCGTTATTAGAGGACTACTGCTTCATCGACTGTTAAGCTCCGGGATCATTTGGAATCGTTGAACGGGACTTCCGAGCGAACGATCGACGAGGTTCGGCTTCGGATTGGATCGAAATGATCATGCTGATCGCGTGTCATAATGATCAAGACCTATAAGAGGTTGATGTCAGTTGTCGCGTCCGTCGTAGCCGCCGGTTGGGATCACCTGCGATAATAAACAATATTCCCTTGAAGAGAAAAAAAACAAGATAGAGACTGAGAGAAAGAGAGAGCTAGAGTTAGAAAGTGAGAAAGAGAGAGACAGAAGCGGCCGCATGCTGCGGCACGGCACTGCTGCCTCCGCCGGCACCGAGAATGAAGAGAACGGCATCGCGTAGGATGAAGACTGATGTGGAAGAAGCTCCGACGTCCCACTACCAGTGGTACTACAACACCTCGTGAGACGTTTGAAACGTACATCGACGAAGACAGAGGGGAGCCGACGGGAGTCGATTCGGCGTGCGGGACGGTCGTCGCGCGACAGTCGCTCCGACAGTAAGTGGATAATTGCGAGGAAGCGCGACGGGGAGGCGCGTTCGAAGAGAACACGACTAGTTAACGCAGCGCTCGCGATACCTGCACAGCGGTGAAGGGGCTCGAGCTCGGTGGGAGTCGAGGAGGGGGCGAGAAGCGTGTGTGCCTCTGTGCGAGTCGGGGTGACCGAGGTGTCGACCTCACCCCCGATTACACCATCAACCAGGTTGGATGATGTGGGCGCCTCTGCTTTTGGCCGGGTTCTTAAGCGGCTGGTGGGGCGCACTGACACTCGCTGCGGCACCCCCCGCCATTCGGGACACCCCAGGAGAAACGTACACGGCGAACATCGCCACGAGGCATTATCGTCCACCATCGATTAGCCTTCTGGACGAGACGGTGCGTAAGGTCGTTCCGGGATATCACACGCGAGAATTTCCTGTGTACTCATGGTCCGAGACTCGTTCCGCGCACCGCGACCTTGACAAGATCCCATCGGTCGAGCCGAGCTCGGTGAATCAGGATCCCTCGAAGGAGAGAGGACACTCGCCGGAGAATGACGCGCGACAGACCTCACGGCGCTCGAGCACGACGCACGAGGAGGAGCCGTCCGAAGAAGACCTCGGGTCTCGTGGTATCCCCTTGAGGGACCACGTCCGCGCTTTTCACCCAAAGATGGACGAGTCCGCATTGACTCGCGCGCCTCGTCACTCCTCGACGCAGACACCCTTCGCGTATCCGCCGACGGTCGCGACGGAATCCGCGCGATCGCGGATCGCCAGATCGGTGAAGCAACGACCAAAGAATCGCACGAAGGCGGACTCGCCGCGCGAACAGCGACGTCGCTGCAAGAACAAGGACCGCTGTCGCGGTCAGAATTGGTGTCCCGACGTCGACGTGGGCAATCGTGCTTACCTGGCGCCCACCGTGTTCGAGGGTAAAGCACGCAGCATGTCCTCCCCGAGGAAGCCCGGCTCAAACTACGCGGTGACCTTCGAGGTGAAGCAGGTCTACAAGAGCCAGCCGGGTTTTCAGCCGCTGCAGAAGAACGACAGCGTGCGGCTGCACTTTCGCGACAAATCGGCGCCCGGCAAGTCCACTGCGTGCCACGAGGCTGGTGCCGGTAGCAAGGCCAATAAGCAGCAACAGCAACAGCAGCAACATCAGCAGCAGCGCGATAATTCGAGTGATGTGGTGCGAGCCAATATTAAAAGGGGCAAAGTGTATCTAGTGTTTGTGGATCGCGTGGGACCCAGGAACTTCACGATTCTCGGCGAGCCGGTAATCCGAAGTAAGAAGAACGAACAGGCCGTCCAGGCTGTCGTTCGGCCGGATTACGGTGAGTCCCAGGAATTATGCAAAGTCCGCACCGATACGGTGCCTTCAACGGTGGCGCGATTAAACTAGAACCATAGCGCGATATCGGTATACATATGTTAAAGAGAGTCAAGCCGGTCGATAATCGTAACGAGACTCGGTCGTATGACGCGCCCGGGCCACGAAAGATCAAACCCTAGGAAATCTCTTCGAGATAGGGTCATACTCGCGCGCGTATGCATGGTTCGACATCGTCGCGTGTTAGTTTGCATGTTCGAACGATGATCTTGGCGTTTAACGTAAGTTCCCGTTATCAGTTTTATGAAAGCACGATTTTTCATTGAGAATATCGTACCGAATATCCGTTAGTCCAATATTGTCTTGATCCAATATGATACCGAAAAACTCTTCCTCGTATCTTGCTTCTCATTTGCAAACTCGACTGGAAATTTATCCTATAATTCTGATCAGTTTGATCCCAATCAGTTATCTGGTTTGTACGAGCTGACGTTATCGGGTCCTGGTAAATCATGTAACGTAGCGTGGCAATCAGGACATTATTAATAATAAAAATTATTAATAATTAGAACCCGATAACACGTCAACTTGTATAAAACAAATAACTGATTGGGATCAACATAATCAGGACCACGAGATTAATTTCCAATTGGGAATTACTTGCTAGTCTGATTCACTGCTTCTTATCACCAATAAGAAGTATTCACGACAATTAACTATTATATTTGGCAACATAGCAAAGTTCTTACAGTCGTAAGAAAGCGTAAACAAAAGATCTGTACGCTTTAATTCGTTTTGGCAGAACCAGCCAAAGATATTTCGAAGTATGAATCTCTCACAATCAATTTACGATTTTGAAATTTTGGAAGAGACCAGACGAGTAATTTATGATGGAAAAAGGCACGTGATCCTTAAGCGCATCAAAAATCAATTCTTTTCGGATAACCGTTCTACAAAAGAATGTCGTTCAGATGTCTGAAATTCTTTCGATGATATATCTGGAAAAGAGATGCGGAGGAAGAAATGCCTTGTCAATGAGGCCGATGAGAGGTTACTTAGTCTTTAAATGGGAATTCTCATAGAGCGATAGTTGACACAGCTGGAAGGTCTCGCGGATGCGCGGCGAGTATATTCGGGCGAGGCGAAAGAATTGACGCCGTTCTCAGTGAGTTCCTCCCGGCTTGGAACAAACAAGATCGCACCTATGGAATTTCTCAGTTGCTCGGCTACGGCAATTGTACGTCGCAGGGTGACAGCCTCGATCGATGTGATGACTCGAGGGCACGATCGAGAGCTCGATGCACTCTGTCGAATGGTAGTTGTTTTTCTCATCTTTTTTTTACTTTTTTGCCCTTTTTTTGGTCGATACGCGCCGATGTAGAATTCTCGATCAGCTCCGGGGGATATAGCACGGCAATATCGTTAATACGGGAGGAACGCTCCAATAGACGTTTACATATTTCCCTTTCGCAGACAGCCCCAGCAATATGGCAGCTAACTTATGTAAACGTACGTGAATATTTTAATTTGCACGTGATATAGCGCCCAGCCGCGATGAGTATAGGTAAATTTCGCGTTTAAACTCGCAAGTAACTTTTATCAATTTATAAAATCTGTTTTAAGTATTAATTGAAGTATATGGGCGAAAAATTTCATGGAAATTTAACAGGATTCATTAATCTTAATTCGAATCGTTTTTATTATGATATAAACGTGATAAATTCATAGTTTTTACGGCATTATCTCGGTTCTGATTTTCATCCGTCGCATGATATTTGTGGCCCGATATAATTTTAATCGAGTATAATACCATATGAAATTTACAATATACACAAGCGAGCTGGAAATCCAACAATATCGGAATCGTAATATTTACTTTAATGTAGTCTTAATTGTACAGAATTTGCAATAAACAATTAATTTGTGTGCTATTATCGTCATCATTAACGATATATGACACTCCAAAGTTCAGTAATAAGTAATTAATCAATTAAAGTTAAGTTAAGAAGTTAATAACTTTAACTTAACTTGGTTAATTTTAAATGAGTTAACTTTTAAACTTAAACTAGTTATTTTTAAATGCACATTAACTTTAACTTGTTAACTTTTCTTGTGCAAGTTAAATAATACATTAATATAAAAATCACTTCAAGTTACTTTTACAATATACAATAAAGAAAATAAAAAATAACAAAAAAGATAAAAAATAATATCAGCAGAATTTTGTTTCGTCGTTGTAAATGCCAATGTCCTTTTCTTATATGGAATCTTCACCAGAAAACCAACTCGATATTTTCTTATAAACTACTTTTTTATTATTCCACATAAATTTAATTTGCGATTGAAAGTTAAATATATGGAGAAACGTATAAAGCATACATATATACATTCACGAAGTATAAAATCAAAGGTGTTACAAGCTATTATTTTTAAAACTGAGCGAATATGACATTTTTGTTTTTTATCATTTGGCGTCAAAGGTAGCATTATTTGATAAAGTTAATTTTTTTTCTACGAAGTCGTAAAATAAATTTAAGAATACTTTGATTTTTTAACTTTTTTCTCTCTTTTCTCTCTCTCTCTCGGTCAGCCTATAACAAGTTTAGTTTTATACCCTGTATATTCCTTTGCACAATTGACTTTTAATTTTGATAAGTTTTGCAAGCCATTAACTTTAGACTTAATTTTGTTAAAAAAAAACGACACAATTATCAAATTCTGCTTATATATACATATATATATAAATCGTAAAAGTTTTGAAATTCATCTTGAAGGACTCTCTGTGACACATTGAGAGAAAAGACTGGTAACTATAACAAACTGCATTTAGTTACAGAAATTCATTGAATCCTTAATAACTAATACTAAATATGATAATAATTACCAAATATTTAATAGATCGGGAGTATGACGTAATTGCATTCACAGTAACATCAATTAAATAATTTAGTAATAGTTACTTAATATTAAATATTTAATATGAAATATATTTTAGTTATGAACAGATATTTGATAATTGTTATGAAATTCTTATATCCCATGTAATAAAAGATTCAGTAGGTACGAGTTCTATTTTGTTATGAGTATAAGTATGTTTTGTTGCAGCACAACGAAAAATTCATTCATTTGCAGCTATTACATCGTTTCAATATCTATTATTACAGATGGTTGGTTGAACCTACCAAAAATTTTGTAACTACTACAAAATCGCTTATTTTGCTCAACTATTCAATAAGTTTTATTTACCAAATATATTCTGGAAGCAAATAAATTTTACTTCTGTCAAATAAATAATTTATTTTACAAAACTAAATTAATTAATAAGTATTGCCATAGCTTTGGCCCGCTATATTTACGTCTACCATTTAGTAATAGTAACCAAATTTTGATATTTATTAAATTCTTCTCTCAGTACACATATGAAATTCTCGAACCCTTCCGATCGGAAGACCCCGACGATCCCGTAAAAGATTAGTTCTTCCTTATCATATTTATCATTTGCAATTTAGCATTACTGATAATTTACCACCACTGCTACTCAAGCGAATCTCAAGGACATCAAGATCACCAGTGCGAAACGTTCGAGTCTGCTGGATTCTCGTTGTTCAAATGAACTTGCGCGCAAAGAGGCGTTCTGTGGACAATCGGGACGCGCGGCGTCGCTTATATTTAAACCGCTACGTGAAAGAGAGAGAGTCGCGCGAGTCCGCGGCGCGTCGCGTCGCGTTGCATTGCGTCGCGTCGCGTCGCGGCGCGATGCGTCGCGTCGCTCTAGCTTACGCTGAGCGGACGACGCCTTCCTCTTCTCCTTCGTACTCACGCGACCGCTCGTAATCGCCGATTAGTAGTACGCGACGTCGCCCTCCTCATCGCCGTGGCGTCGCGCCGCGTCGCGTCGGTGTGTAACGAGCGTGAGTTTTTGAAGGTGGTCCAATTTGCCGGCGGTTCAATGCGCTTCCACCTCTCCGTTCTCCCCGCGGCGTCACCGACCACTACTAGGCGTCCCCGTCCCTCTCCACTTGGACTGTAGTAACTGCGCGACGACTGCTCGATGACTTTACCGCTTGACTCGCGCGCGACGACTTTCCGCGGTCGATTTATCGCGCCAAACGTGACGAATGACGAGCGCAGCGGTGCTCCCGCAAAAGAAAAACAGAGAGACGGAGACCATTTCCGTAATGTCGAGCGGTTTCCGAACTGTTCCGATCGTGCACCCCAGCTCCTCCGGGATCATGCCTCGCAGTTAATTAACTCATTAGCGCTCGACTCCGTGAAGAATACGTGTTTAAACGGCGCCCGCAACCCGCTAATCGCTTCGTTGGCAAATAAGTCAAGCACGAAGTGTATAACTTCGGTCGCCGCGAGAAGTACTAACGGGTTAATGCCTCGAAGCTACGACAACCGATTCATTCCGCGACGTCGAAGTAGGGAGGAGGGCGGGAGAGGCGTGTTACGTGTTCGGATGCGCGGTATTTGCATCTCTAAGGGCCGCGAGACGCCCGAGGCGTAAGGTCTATCCGATTCTAGAGGCAATCAAATATTAGAATAAGGCATTAGAAACAAGAAACAGATATATAGATTTAACCCCGCGTGCGCGCGCGTACGACCGGGGTATAGAATCTTTCAGGTATCTGCTACATCAGGATTCGCGTGTATTAACGCATTGTTGACCGATCGCGGGAAAGCTCGCGTTTTCCTTAGTCGAACATTGTTGGCCGGCAAGTCGCCTCGCGTTCCGATGCTTTTGGAAAAACAAATAACAGCCGGGAACGGACGACATTGAAAACAGTCTACGATTGAATAGATGAGTTCTGTATTGAATTATGCTATTATTGCTATGGCGGCTGTAGTGAATTTTTAGTCGAATATAATTCGCTCGAATTCATCGTCGCGAATAGCACCTCGGGTATAGCTTCAAATTGTACGCCCAACGAAAAGTGAGATAAAAGGCCAATGAAACGTTGTGATTTTTTTATATATCTCTATTTCAATTTTAATGTATTT